AAGCTAGTAAAGCAAACCTTCAACGACGATAAATTCAGATAAACAAAAGAGAAATCTAAACCAAAAGACACAAACATTTGAAACGTGGTTCGGTCAACTAACCTATGTCCACAGCGGCGATGAGCAATTCCACTCTAATAAAAAAGAGAGTACAAAAATATCGAGAGAAACAAACCTCACGAGGGGCAAACATTAAGGTGACACAACTTGAACAATGTCCCGTAAAGTTCTCCCCCTAGACACGACTTCAAAGCCCCTATGACTACATTGTGGATCTACTGAATGAGAGGAAGGATCCTCAATTTATAGAAGTCCAACCTTTTTTCCTACAAGAAAAAGGACTAGCCAAATAAATAAGAGATTTGTAATTTCCTTTACAAAAAAGGAAAACCAAAATTAAGGTAATTATATTGCCCTTTTCCCTTCAAGAGAATAGGAAAAACCAAATATGGTAAGAAAATTAATGGCAAACACCTAACATTCCTCCCCCTTGGCCTGAATTTCGTGGCAAATAAACTTGATCCACCTTCTTCACATAAGCCTTCAAACAGGTTCGCATCCCGAATCTCCGCCACAAAAAGTTTGTCCTCAAAAGTGCTTAGCACTCGGTCAAAATTTCTCAAGTCAAAAAAAAACCACGATTATCGTCAAAATATGTTGGCAGCTAGAACTAAACACGCTAAGATAACCTGTCTTAACCTGCTTCTGATACCAGTTGTTAGGACCGAAAAAATCAGGTGTCCCACCGGTAAGCTAGTAAGCATACCTTCAGACGATTCGATTTTAAATCAAGTGGATATAACAAATTGGAAAGAGCATGAAATCTTTTAATTAGCGTGCAAAGATGATGACATTACAAACAATTTTTGAAACGTTTGGTTCAGTCCAACTGACACGCGTACTGCGTTCCACGAGACGGCTGATGAAACGGGTCCATGCTCACTTCACTAATCACTAGAGAACGCAACGAGATGTACAATAAGAATATCGTGAGTGAAAGATCTCTTTACAGAGCGCTCACGAAGGGGCCAATCACCAAGTCGTTATCTCACTACTAGACTAACTTGATTTGGTCTATCCGTAAAAGCTGTCCTCGTTGCACCCACTAGGATCTGCTGTACTTACCTCGGCCCTGCGTTCGCGTGACACCTGATTTTTTTTTCGGTCCTAACAAACTGTATCAGAGGCAGGCTTACTAGGCATAAGCAACTAGTTCGATGATGCTTCATGCGGAAATGGTTGTATAGATATGATAGCGATCCTCTACGAATTCATAGCGAGAAGTCCAACATATTTACGAATAATCGTGGTTTTTGGACTGAGAAAATTTGAAACCGGAGTGCTAAGCACGTTGAGCACTAACTTTGTGCGGGATCCGGAGAATGCGACCTGTTGAAAGGCTATGTGAAGAAGGTGAAATCAATGTTTATTTTGGCCGAAATTCAGGCCAAGGGGAAGAATTGTTAAGGTGTTGCCATAATTTTTCTTAACCATACTTGGTTTTCCTATCTCTTGAAGGAAAAGGGCAATATAATTACCTTAATGAGTTTTTCCTTTTTGTAAAAAAGGAAATTACAAATCTCTCTTATATTTGGCTATCCCTTTTTCTTGTAGAAAAAGGTTTGGACTTCTATAATTGAGGATCCTTTCCTTCTTTCATTCATTAAAGCCCCCCCCAATTCCCCCAAAACAAAATGTAGTCTGGGGGCTTGAGAGTCCGTGTTAGGGGAAGAACTTACGGGACAATTGTCATGTGTCACTATGTTTGCCCCTTCGTGAGGTTGTTTCTTCCTCGATATTTTTAACTCTCTTTTATTAGAGTGGATTGCTCATCGGGGTGGCATTAGGTAGTCGACACGTCTGTTGTTTCCTTGTGATTTTCTCTTTGTTTATCCGGGACCTTATTTCTTATCAATAACAGACTAGCGCTAAATATAAGAGGAGGAGATTTGTAATTTTCCTTTTACAAAAAGGAAAACTCAATTAAGGTAATTATATTGCCCTTTTCCTTCAAGAGATAGGAAAACCAAATATGGTAAGAAAATTATGGCAAACACCTAACAGCGGGTTCGGTCGAACCCAGTAGTTTTGATTCAAACCCTGTATTTGTCTTAAAAAATTCATTGAATATGTATAAATTATTAACTAGAACCCAGTAACTTAAAACGATTAGAATCCCGAACTCATAAGCATGAAATCCTGACTCCGCCTCTGAAACAAATATTGAATGAGTAAACAAGGATGAGATATACCTGAATAATACAACAATAACATAGCAACAAAACACATGTAATACTAACAAGTACCAATAAAAAAAATAAGATAGGAAAGACTGTTCCAATGACCTCGACTATGTACCTAAATCATCTAGTGGGAAATTATGTCAAATTAACCTAATAATTCTTGGAAATTCTTGTGGACTTAGCAATACTATAAGGACAAATTAGAGATGGATTTTTAAGTATTCATGTATATGCATTTCTAACTAATTTGTTTCATTATATTTTGTTCAAAAATTGTTTCTCATTTTGAATCTAGGTTGAGTTGGGCTATTTCAAGGAAACAATGGCTTTTCACCATTGACAAGGATAACTCTCTCAAAGGATATATGCATTGCTTCCTCCCTCTCTATCTGTGTACAGTTAAGCACACATGTTTGATCAGGGAATAGAACACAAACTTGAATTACATCAACCTAAGTTAAAGAAACCATATTTGGAGGATACTATATATATGGACATATTATTAGTTGAATTATGTAGACAATGTGTTCGAGATAATGACTGAATGAGTGAAAAGTGGTAAAGTGTCTTAAAACAATTT